TCATCATCCTCGCAGCCCTCCACTGGACTCTCTCCAGTAGCTCCTCATCTTTCTTGAACTGGGGAGCCCAGCACTGGACACAGTACTCCAGATGGGGCCTCACCAGGGCAGTGTAGAGGGGAAGGAGAACCTCCCTCGCCCTGCTGCCCACACTCTTCTTGATGCACCCCAGGATCCCATTGGCTTTCAGTGGTGGGAGCTCCTCACTCAGCTGGGCAGCTTCCTCCGTTCAATGTTACGTAGAAACAACCTGAAACTTGCTTCCCAAATGAATCTGGCTTTTGTGTTAACTCTTTAATCAGCGTGGGGTCAGTGAGAAGTGCCCCACGCTAACAGACACCGCCGTCTCATTAGTCACCCTTTTTTTTTTTAAACAGATATTTCACAGCTATTGTTAATGCCCATTTTTCACAGGGTGATTTCCCAAGCCTCAGCCTGTAACACATCCCAGTGACGAATGCTCCCGCTTCGGACGGTGCCGTCAGCTGCAATGTCACGTCAGACGTCTCCTCGGTGCCTGCTCCAGACAGGCCGTCCCGGCCGATGATGGCTCTGGCTCCGTGATCGCTTCGCAACCTCACGAATCTACAGGCTTTTCAAGTTTAATTGAATAAAATTCTTTGCAATATAAATTCTTCATGAACGCTATATAAATCAGCTCCGGGATGGATTTATAATGTTTTCTTTTTTTTCCAGCGGGTAGGGCAAGAAATCTCACTGCTGTTTTGGGGCCAAAGCTGGTCTTGTTCTGATTGCAAGGAGAAATAAATTTTGCTACTACACTTTACCATGATGTAGAGATTAAATTTATTGGGGTGCCTGCAGCTTCCAGCCCCCCCTCCGCTCCCATTCGACCCAGATCAGCAGCGCAGCGGGCTGGGGCTTGAGCTCAGGAGTGAGCCCAGCTCGGGACTGCTGCAGCTCCGCAGAGCTCAGCTCCGTGGGGGCCACGCTCGGCCCTCGGGGCGTTTGCAGGCCATAGTGTTTGTCCTCTGCTCCACCACCTCATCCTACAGCACTCAGCTGTGTAAAAGGGACATTTCTATCCTGGATCCCCCAGCCCCCCGGGGAGCCGCTGGCCATGACCCAGCAGCAGCTTGGGTCCTCCCCAGTACACCCTGCGCGCTGGACTGGGAGCGGAGGCTGGCGACGGGGGGACGCTGGGGTTGAAGCAGGGACCTCGTGCGCCGAGTTCAGCGAACAAGCTGTAGCGTGGCCGAGCTGGCGCCTGCTAACGATGTCGGAGCGGCGTGCGGCGATGCCCGAGAGCCTGGTGAGAGCAGGCAGGAGGGAAGTGCCACCAAAACGAAACGCGGGCTTGAAACCAAACAAAGCTCCGCGGCTCTGGGTTTGCGTTTGTTTTTCCGAGTCCTTTGTCCCCACCCAGCACACCCAGCTGCCCAGCACAGGGATTCCAGTGCCTGCACCTCATCAATATCGCGGGAGGAAGGCAGATGCTTTGTCCGCGCCGGCCGCTTGCACAGCCCAGATCCATTCCTGCCTAGCAGGGTTCCTTATTTATGATTACGCCGGAGCTGCCAGCGCAGACATATGTTGCTAAGGGTCGTTTATTCTTGTTTGTAAAATGTATGGCTGCTCCTAGCTTACACACTGTCAAAACGAGAAGAACTGGCCCCAAAATCTCTTGCTGCATGATTGGATCAGACGCCCGTACATCTGTTGGCGCTGTAGGAGCTGTAAAATGAAATAAGTTTCGCTATAACTCAAGCACCTCCATCAGCGCTGCAAGGGGTGAGCAGCAGAGCCGGCGGCTGCTCCTGCAGCAGTGACACCACCGTGCATTTTGCCAAGTCGTCTGTAAATTTAGACGAGGCAGCGCTGCCCCTGCTAATGCACAGGAGGAGGATGGGTGCGTGCCCCCCGCCTCGGCCGGCTGCGCTGGACCCCCGGCCCGGGGCCGCAGCCCTGAGCTCCTCCTCCTCCTCCTCTCAAGCTGGAGGACCAGGAGGGACCACAGCTGCCATCGGACCAACTCCTCTGCAGTCGCAGGTCCCTGGAATACCCATTTTGCCTGGGAGGGGTCGAAGGAAAAGCCTCCCCACCCCAACACCTCGTGCTACAGCAAGGTAGGACCTGGCTAGAAAAGGGCAGGCACGCAGCTGAGGCACCCCGGGGTCGGAGCCACCGTCCCCGCGTCGGACAGAAGCAGATGGAGCCTGTTGGCGTTGAGGGAAGGGGTGCCTTGGTCCCTCAGAGTGGCAGAAGGTGCTCCCCATGCCCGTCCCCACTGCAGCGGCTCCACAGGGCGTGCGGGGAGAGGCAGAGACAGCGGGTGCCCCAGCCACCCCAGGGCGACGGGGAAGCTGTGCAGGGTCGGTGTCAAAGAACCCAACCTGAGAAACTGCCCCAAAAAGAACGTTTCTGAGCGGCCAGTGCAAGGAGCACTTGCCGCGGAGGTGGCGGGGCCCTGCCAGTGCCACGTCCCCAGCCAGCGCCACGTCGGGCTGAGCACTCTGTCCCCCGGCCAGGTCACCAGCGCGCTGCAGGAGCTGCTGCAGGTCTTGGGAAATTCGAGCAAACACGAAAAGAAGCTGCAGGAATACCTTACCTCCTTGTGCTCAGGGATGCGGAGACCAGAGCTCGGTGCATGGCCCTGCCAGTGCCACGTCCCCAGCCAGCGCCACGTCGGGCTGAGCACTCTGTCCCCCGGCCAGGTCACCAGCGCGCTGCAGGAGCTGCTGCAGGTCTTGGGAAATTCGAGCAAACACGAAAAGAAGCTGCAGGAATACCTTACCTCCTTGTGCTCAGGGATGCGGAGACCAGAGCTCGGTGCATCCTCCTCCCTCTCCGCCCGAAGCTGCAGCCACCCCAGCGCGGAGCGCGGGCCAAACAGCGGCATCACTCGGAGGGGTCGCCAGGCTTTGGCGAGTCGGGGGCGCGGG